AAACACGACATATTTACCAAACAAATAAGTCAGTATTGTTACACGTCTAGGCTCGAACAAAAGTAACAAAGAAAAGAGTGAAGCCAACAAGCTTTCGTAAAATTTAAACAAATAATTTATTTTCCTAGAAAACAATGTAAAAATATGAAGAAAAAAAAGATTTACGGTTTGTGAATCTCATCCAAAATTAATCATAAAATTAAAAATATAAATCGAAGAAATTAATAAAATAAGTCATATCACTAAAATGTTCTAAATGAATCAAAGTTCGAATCCGATGAAGTTTCAAGATAAAAGGCGATGACGTCTTGACGTTTTGTGCTGTCGCGTCAACAGTTCCTTGTTGAATCACTAACGTTAATATTCCGACTTTGGAATTCCGAATAATTTCCAACAAATGTCTTTGTCCAAGAATTCTGATGAACACTAGATATTTCCATGAAATTTTAATTATTTTAAATGAAAAATTCAATTCAAACTGGCCACATAGCAAAAATAACTTTGAGCTCTGAATGTATGAATTACGGCTGAATTAAATCACTTTAAAACGTTAGTTTTAAACGCAATTTAAGATCAAGTGATAAGGTCACGTGGTCACTGAGTTTGAACGTAACACCACAAGTCGACTGATACATGCGTCATGGACGAATTTGATTCTACTTAACGAATCTATAGGATTGAATAAGAATTAAAATTAATATTTACATTACATAGAACTGATACGCAAGCCAAAATTGACCTTGATTACAACCAATGATTATCACTCTAGGAAAGAAATAAAAAGTTGTTTTTAAGTTCTGAATGTCAGCTAAAAATACAACTTAGCAATACTAGTTATTTACCAGGTCAAAACAGAACTGAACTGAATTTTCCGAGAAAAAAAAATGTCAAATCCAGTGATATAATGAAATAAAAATAAAATAAAAAATTTAAAGCTAACACACAAGTAATTAAATTATGTAAACGTAAAATATTTGCCAAACAAAATGCGACACATTTACCAAACAAAATCTCAATATTTACTAAACTAAATGCAAAACATTTACGAAACAAAAACTGAGTATTTGCCAAAAATGCGACACATTTGCCAAATAAAAACTCGACATTCCTCCACCCCCCCAAAAAAACATTCCTGTAAGAATTAAAAGGTTCCCACTGACTTCTTTTCACCTTTATCGATCAAGAAATAAATAATTGCAAAATTTGTAAAAAAAAAAAAAAAAAAAAAATTTTGCAATCAATTAATTATTGCCAAAGGCGGTTTATCTGAGGAAAATAGCGGACGAAAGCAATGCCTTGATAGGTCCCTAATATAAGTTCGTTGATTGGTTAATGGATAAGCATGATTGACAAGCGGTGATAGGTCAATTGAATTTATGCAAAATGATAGATCGCTCCACCTACCAAATCACGTGGCATGATGCACTGCTAACCTCCGACAAACAAGCAGTATTTGGCAAAGAAATATGTTTCAGTTTCAGTGATATTTTTTTATTGAAAATTAACCAATAAAAGTTTATCTTCCAAAGGCAGTCAATTGACTTTATGGCCAATGATAGATCGCTCCGCCTACCGAATCACGTGACATGACATAAATGTTAAACTCTGATAAATAAGCAACATTGGGCAAGGAAATATGTTTCAGTTTGGGCGATATATTTGTTAAAAATGATTTGTATTATTCAAAAAAATGTCAAAGTTTAAAGTTGCATAAATTGTACTGCAGTAGACAGTATTTATATTTGTAGTTAAGTTCGTATAGTAATAATCTTAGGAGTTTTGTCAGAAAATAATAAAATTATATTTTAAAGCTGCTCGAGAACTTATTCATGTACAAGGAAATTCGCTCCAGAACATGTTAATGTATTTAGTATATAAGCTTATCCTTATTAATTTTTTTCTGACTCATGTTCAAGCTTCGTTTTAGCCTAATTGATTGAGAAATCAACAAATATTTGCACAAATTTTAATTACTTATCATAATCAATTCATTATTGTCACAAGCACTTGTCGGAGGAAAATGGCTGACGAGAGCAATACATGGAGGTGTATCTAATTTATGCATGCTGGTTGGTCAATTGATCAGCATGATTGACAAGTGGCGATAGGTCAATTATCATTCGATAAAATGGGTAATTTTCATTTACGTGTAAGAAATTGATATGTTCTTTTGTTCATGGCGTCTCTTTGGTTAAATATGCACTTAAGAAACGAGAACATCTCGGCATAGGCAGGCATAGGTAGCAGATTGTCGTCCGTTGCTTACGACATGCTGTAATTATTGGCAACATAATGCTGTTTTCCCCTCAGTTATGTCTAATACCAAGCGGTATAAAAGGTCTTCTAAAGGTTAATATTGGATGTGACAGATGGCTGTCAGCATGGAGTATGGGACTTAATCGGCCTCAAAGACTGCAACTTTAAATTCTTCATTAATAAATGAGACTTTCCTTTTGTAACATGCACACCTTTGTCATGAAATAGGAAGGAGAACAATGGCTGGTCTATCTACTATAGACAATGACATAAAAAGTAAGAATAGGTATGTATGTATGTATGTATGTATGTATGTATGTATGTATGTATGTATGTATGTATGTATGTATGTATGTATGTATGTATGTATGTATGTATGTATGTATGTATGTATGCATGCATGCATGCATGCATGCTATGTATGTATGTATGTATGTATGTATGTATGTATGTATGTATGTATGTATGTATGTATGTATGTATGTATGTATGCATGCATGTGCGAGAGTCATATAATCCTTGTGACACAATTTGACAAGACCGTTTGCAGATAAATGGGTGCACATGTGTATACAACGATTTTACAATCAATTTTAACTTTCTATTAATTGTATTAATAAACAGTTTAATGTGTTGCTTCTGCTTATAAATGGCTTTTCTGAATGACTTTTATGCCACCGTTTTTCCAAACACAGTTTTTCTTATGATTTTAAACTAATGTTGCTGACAAATTTCGTTTAAAACCAGTTCCAATAAATTTTCAAAAATATATCATGGTTACGAAGCACAATTTAAAACGTTAAATGATTCAAATGATACTTTAGCTAAACTACATTTTTTTTTTAAAAATTATAAAAAAAGAAAAAGAATAGCTAAGTGCCCGCTCATTATAATTTCATATTAAATTTCTAATGCAGTTGTAAGTAAACTATGCATAATCTTGTTAGTTTTTCCTCATTCTTTCTGAATATACACTTTTACACATTCTTGACATCATACACGTTCTGACTCTGGTGGTTTACAGAAACAAGATGAAGGATCATTGGTCAAACGTTCAGTTTAGAAACAACAGGTATTTTCCCCACCTACTTCTAATAATATTCCTGTTTGAAAGATAACGATACAATCTTTTTTTTTTTTTTTGGTAAATCAATGCGAACAAGATACTTGCTGTTTCCACAGGAAACGAGTGTTCTGAATTTACTTTTACGTAATAATAATAATAATAATAAATGCAGTATTTTGTCTTAGTCTATATTCAATTGTTAAACCAGTTTTTCTAGTCGGCACATATCTTCACCGATTTACATTACTGAAATTCTGTTATCAAGATATCTTAATTCTATTAATAATATTTTCAACGACTTTAGTCTAGACTTCAGTCTATGCAGGGATTTTGTTTGTAACCCCCTTGCTTCAACAACAGTATCGGTGGAAAGATTATAAGGAACGCATTGTTTCACCAAAAACGTTTAAGATCTTAGAAAGCACACAAAGTTCAATGCCTACAGATAGTTTATTGATTTTTTTACATTGTAACAGGGATTTGGACTACGTGTGTTCGTTCCAGTATCGAGCGGGGCGACGAAAAAATGTTGAAATAAGCCGATGATGAGCCAGAGTATCGCAATGTTGTATATCAGTTTGGAGGCTCGAAACGCCAGTGCATTATCAAAAAAGACTCACAAGATGCTATCGAAAACATATCCATTTTGCAGGACAGAAGTGAGGAAATTGTGGGTGAAAAACTCCAAACATTGCTCAAAAGGATTCAAATCATGGAAAAAGAAATTAACTGAAAGCTTGAAAAACTGGAAGCTTTAGAGAGTAGAATCGAGGAAAAGTTTGATAAAATCGATTAGAAAATGGCTACAGACATCAGTGGCTTACGCTCTTGTACCCATTAATTAAATATCTATTTTATGGGTTACTTGTAAACTCAAAATTATACATCAGTCTTGCTTATTAGAAACTCTTCCACTTAATGAGCTAAAATGACATGAATGTAGGTAATATGACTACATAATGAGATACAATATTGGAACGTTTTTGTTTCAGTTAAGATAACGCAGTCTTTTTTCCTTTTTAACTGAAATACACATGAAGCATAAAGTCAACACATGATCAAACAAAACATCAGACAATGACTACCGTTTTAGATGGGTGCCAAAGTAACAAATGTTTAATTCTCTTTTGTGTGTGATCACCTTACCAAGTTTTTCCAGGCTTAATACTTGTAAAACAATAATCTCATTGAAAATGTTTTAATAAGCAAGCGATATTTGTTTCACAACGTCTTAGACCAGTCATGTTTATGACATGATCTTTGTCTTCGTTTCAGTATATACATTACAAATATAATTCGAAGAGTGTATATACTAATTATTCTGTATACTAAAAAAATTACTAAATGATACACGACCCTACATTCAATATTTTATATGCAAATATGGTTCACGTCTCTACTGCACATTTTGACTTTTTTAAGGTATGTGTTGTTTATTTTTTCTTCAGACAACCGTACTTGTTCCATAGGTTACGAGTACTACCAACCGGACAAATTTTGTTACAAGATTCACAAAGTATGCAAATCATGGTATAACGCAAGGGATGTCTGTCAACAAGAAGGCGGGGATCTGATCATCCTCAAAAGCAGCAATTTTGAATTCTTTAATGACATAGCTCGATCAAACACTGGTACTCTTCAAATTTATCCGACAGAAAGTTTTCGAATTAACCGCTCCGATGGCCTAGTGGATGGAGCGCCCGCCTTGGATGTGGGAGGTCGCGGGTTCGAACTCCAGTAGAATCATACCAAAGATTTTAAAAATGAAACTAACAGCTACCTCGTTTGGCGCTCAGCTGCGGCATGATGCCCCAGTGCTTGATTTCATTATAAACTGTCATACTGCAGTCATCATAACGACATGATTGAACGATTGTTAAAGCTACGTTAAAATTCTAAATCACACACACATAACACATCGGTACAGTTAATGTTGGAAATTTTTCTTTATGTAACGCAAATAATTTCTTTTGCAGTTCATCACGGACTATTTTTCTACTCGCAACTATCAAAAAATAGGGAAACAAAATCGTATCTATTCATCCGCGTGTTTGTTCACATTTACAAAGATTTCATATTCTTTTGATTCTACTTGTTTGCAATACTAACTAGAATATTACATTTTCCTTGCTATTTGGCTTACTGAAAAAAAGACTTCCATATTGGTAATAACTAAAATCAACACGAAAATTTATTATAATGCTAAAACAGGGACAAAATAATCATTACGCAGGTTGTAAGGCAGTAATGTGCCAGTATTCGAGCAATAACACAAGACACCGTGGATAGAATTAATAGCAGTCGTGGTCACACACGCGGAAATGTGATGCTGACCTTTCTTGAGTGTAATCGACGTCGGGGAGATAGTTTATTAGTGTTCTTGAAGGTAACTGAGTATCCGCAGAAATTATTTGTAATTGTTCGCGTACAAATTCACGCTGAGGAGCAGTTGAATCTAATCTGTAGATTGCAGATCTACCCGTGGACCTTACTACGCTGGAAATTTTGTGTGTGGTCAAACTCCAAATAGGATCAATTGCTCTTTTTCTGCCTCCTTCAAGTTTGCCAGGTTTATATAAATATCTAACTATAACATTACCAAGTACTGGTTGAGAAAAAGATTCACGTTTTATCGGTATATATTTTTTGAGATCGCATTAGATGGTTTCATAGAATTTGCACAAGTAATTTCTTTATTCAGCGCAGCTATCACACTCGATAACCTCGCAACCCATTAACGATATCTTGTATCTGTGGATATTTCCTTTGCATAGTGATACCCGAATAACCGCACAGCAAGAGTTCAATTAAAACGTTTAGCAATTGCCTGATCTGTGTGTCCTCGTCTAATTTTAACGTTGTGCATGTTCATCAACGATGATACTGCACCAATAAATTCTTTGCCAGTATCAACCTGTAGTAGTTTTGTCCATTGTAAGGGTCCTAGCTGAAAAGTTTGTTAAAACACAGAAACAACTTCAGTTGCTATCTTTGTTGATAGCGGCTCTGCTTCTTTATATCTACTCTCAACGTCAGCAACAGTTAACGCGTATCTGTATGTATATTGACGTCTGCCGATTTTAATGGTATCGTGTGGTAAAAAACAGTATATCCACTTGATGAACTTCTTTAGGAATGCTGACATCAAAATGTTAAATATTTTTAGGTGAACTTAAATAGATTTGCCATATTGCCTGTTATCCTAACAACGCTTCAGCAACATCACGTGAAACTTTCGCTGCAGCGGCAAGTTTGCTAATCGCTTCTTTACCTCTCCAATAGCCTTTCGGGGAATAATAAACATATTTCATTATAATAATCAGTTGATTAATTATCAGCCCTAACATTATTTTACCTTTCATAGCAGATTTTACTAGGAAGATAGCGAGTTTTTCTCTGAGAGATTTATTAGGTATAAAATTTAACGCATGAATCAATTTTACATCTGCGAGATGCCGCTGTTGAAAATCTGGACATTTATACGCCTCATCATGAATGTGACACGCTTGATCAATCTTATTTACTGGAATCTCTCCAGGTTTTGGTTGATTTTGGTTATCGAGTCTGATATCGAGGCGAATTCCAGGACCACATTAATTATATATCGGAAGATGTTTTCACCAGGACATTTTGCCCAAGGAGCTCCTGGCAATCTCCTTAACAAAGCAGCTATATCACCACCACGCACTATTTGCGACGCGTAAATTAATTTATATTTGCTTGTACCACATTTTACACACTTGCCTGTAAGCGCGCATCTCTTATTTTTTGAAGTTATCGTTGTAAATCCAACGGTGGGGGTTTTTGCTCTACATAAACTCATATCATTATTTTATGGATATAACTGACTTTTCAGCGACACGAAAACAAGAGCCAGTAAAGCACCATCCATCGTTACCAAATTCCACCAGAATGATTATAAAAGGTCCGTCTGGAAGTGGGAAGACGCAATTACTGCTTAATCTGATAATGAGAATACTGAAGTGGGATACATTGTATTTAGTAATGCCATCTGTATATGATCAACGATGTTACGAAATACTTAAAGATTGGAATGAAAATGTAAGAGTTAAATGAAGACAGCGAAGTCATCGACTTTATTACTGATATGGATAAAGCGCCATATGTAGATGATCTGGATGATCTATTAATAACCTAGTGGTATATGATGATTTCATGCTGGACAAACAATCCAATCCAGCAAGGATATTTTCCAGAGGCAGGCATAAATACAGACGTGATTTATGTTACACAGCGTTATACACAAATTCCAAAAGTGACCAGGGATAGCTGTAACATTTTAGTTGTGTTCAACGGAGTTGCTAATCATATGCTGCAAAATATTTATTATTCCTGGTGTTCTGGGGACATGGATATGATTAAGGTCAAACACTTTTTTCAAAAGCACAAGCTACTCCGTTTGGTTTTATAACAATAAACTTGCATGAGCCTAGATCAAGGTATCGTAATGGACTTGATACAATTTTTGGATAAAAACCATAGCAGCAGAGAGGCTGAACAACCAACGCTTAGTGACCAGACAAGTAAATGAAATCGCATAACAATTTGAAACAAAAGCTAATCCAATTAGAGAAATCTCGGTCGTTTAGATAATTTGGTTTAATGTTATTTGACCTCGAGATTTCAGCCTCGTAGGAACATTTATTTTTTATAAATAAGGTCTCTAAACATTGTAGGGTTCAGCCTCTATGCTGATATATACATACATACACACACACGGACATATATATATATATATATATATATATATATATATATATATATATATATATATATATATATATATATATATATATATATATATTATCTCTCCCACATTAAGGAGCTGGTTCCTTATTATGCGATATATGCGATATCCGGTTTTAAAAAGTAAACATGTTTATAGAAGATACTTGGAGATTGATACTTGGTTTTCTTTTACAAAATTTGTCTTATATCCAGTCTTACTGTTATCTGAACTGTCAGTATGAAGGAAGTCTGTGGTATAAAGAAAGGATGTTTTTGTTTTGGTGCCAATCATGTCTGTTTTCAGGACGGTTGTAGTCCTTGTACCATAATACTCCAGCAACATGGGCACAACATTTGCCCCTACTTTACATGTACAGTATCAACCTATTATGAGTTCTGTGTCCTTTCCATGAAGTGAATATTCAATTCAGGACTTATGGGAAACATTGTTGGAATGCCTGGATTGTATTTAAATTTTAACAAATTGAAATCTTCTCCATGTCAAATGATTTCGCACCCCCTACTCTCTTATACACGCTTCCGGGTTCAAAATGGGGTTTGATTTGATAAACACCATATGTAATGTTTTGTAATTATTCCACTGACAACTTGGGGAATCGTCAAACTGACCATCGGATGCAACTATGTGTAGATAGATTGCTGAACCCTCATCTTAAAGGATCGAGCACGTAATTCTTCTCTGCTGCCTTGAGCAACATTTATTGTCCACAGACTCCAATACAGCGACTGATTCTTACCAATGGCTTGTGATATTTGTTCAGGATGCTGCATGTAATCATCAATTAAAGGGATGTAGGATGTAGGTATTAGGATTAACCTAATCCATCATCTGACAGTGAACATTACGATCATTCACTCTCCACATTGAATCGAACTTTTGTGACTAGCCTGGTGATACTCGCTTCCTCGATCATACCTGTTTAGACCCTTTTTGTACGTAGGCTAGCATTTCCACACGGAAGCCTTGTTTTTCTAAGAAATTTAGTGCATCTCAGAAACCTCTGTTCACAATAAAAGTATCATTCTCTTTCAGCCACTGATTTCTATTTTGTAAATTATTCATGAACAGCTGTTTTGTGATTGCTGCATCACTTTTCTTGCCATCAGCAAAACAATGTCCAAGGACACTCAGTATTCAACCATATGTAACAACAAATACAATGGGTTTTACATATAGTCCAAGGACAGTCAGTACATAACTATGTACTGACTGTCCTTGGAGTATATGTATAAAGGAAGTATTTGATGGAGTCCAAGAGTTTGAGGTATGGTGTTAACCTAGTACTGTGTATGATTCTTGTCACTTGTGACTTTTTAATTACAAATAGAATAAATGCCAATTTGTCAGAGGCCAGTTTTAAGTATCAATAACAATACTACTAGACATGTGCGATCTGATCTCAGGGATGTGTTTCTGATGTATGTCAAGTATTTACATAGATTTGAAAATTGTTCTTTCATCAGACTTGTGAATTGAATATAATCTTTATCAGAAAGTAAAGATGGAATATCAAAGTTTATGTTTTTATGAGTGTCCTGACATGTTTGTGCATTTTCTCCCTCAAACAATGAGAGAAGCAATAATTTTCAAGATGATTTGGAGCTTTTTGAAGAATACTTAAAACATCATTTTTTATAAAAGCACATGTGCTAGCCTTAGTTAGCACTGTTAATAGGCAACACTTGGAACTATACATAGCAGTAACTACATTTTGAATGTTGTTTATATCACCAAATTGAAAATGGTCATTTTCAAACACCAGTTTTAAACTATACTTTTTTCTGGGTAATCTTGGTCTATTTTTGTTCTTACTAAGAAAGCATTTGCAAGCTTTAATACCATACCTGTGGAAAACTTGTGTAGAAAAAGGTATAATGAGGAGAGATGTTCAATAGTACGTGAACTGATTGCTGTTTACTAATGAAATGTGATGTGTCTCTGATATATAACAAAAGAAATTGCAATAAATGTTGTA